AAAGACATGTAGATCTTAAGGGTGGGTGAGGAGTGCAAATCACATTAACTTCATTACTTTATTCTGCACCTCCCAGCGCTTCTGCCAAATGGACAATTGCATTAGATCAGTGAGGAGATCGAAAGACAAAAGCTCCCTGAAAATTCACTGTCTTCAGCCAGACTTGGGGGCAGGGGAAGACCAAGGAGAAGGCGCAGGAGTAATCGTGTTGACCTAGGCAGAAATTTATGACATCTACACACACTCCTGCCATGTCTTTTTCTTTGCTTTTTCAACTCCCAGGCCAACATCTTGTTTTATGTTGGCAGTGGAGACAGGACAGGAAGACCAAAAGCAAGAAGAGAGAAAGCAAAACTCAACACTGACACGACTATGGACACTCGGTCAGCTTTGAGAGGTTTGCTTTTAACAATGCCTAAATTTCAGAAAGCCCACAGAATTGTTTAATAAACACACACAAAAAACAGCTGCTGGAAGGACTCTGGACTTTTTGCAAATAGCAAAAATATATAAAGAGAAATGTAAACCTATTTAGAAGGGAAAGTGTGAACATCACATAGGTATGAATATTTTTATAAGCACGAAGCCACAATTAGGTGATCTGTTTTGAGAATTAAACTACAGCTAAATTTGACTGCAAAATGAGCTGTGTTGGAACTCAGCACATACATCTATCTAACAATAATAGTTGAGTTACTAAGCACTCTATTTTTGGTTTTTTAAATGTCTCCCAAAGGACTTTGTGTTGATGACATGTCTCCAAGCCTGTAACACTGTGCGGAATGGGGCGGGGGTAGTAGAAAGTAGGTCAACAGGGGTATGCCCTTGGAGGGTATGATGATTAGCTTTGTCAACCCGACACAACCTGAAATCACTTGGGAAAAGTTTCAATAAAGGATTGCCTATATTGGGTTGGCTTGTGGGGTATGTCCGCCGGGGGGATTATCTTAATCTATATGAGAATATCCAACCCATAGTATGTGACACCAATTCCCTGGGTAAGGGATCCTGAGCTGTCTTTTAAGGCTGGAGCAATTGAGATAAGAACGAGTGGGCACACCGGCATTGACTTCTCTCTGCTCTACACTGTGGATGTGATGTGACCAGCCGATCGAAGGCCTGCCTTGACTTCCCCACGATGGACCGTGAACTGGAATTGTAAACTGAAATAAGCCCTTTCTCAAAGGTGCTTTTTGTCACGGTGTGTTATCACGGCCACAGAAATGAAACTAGAGCAGAAGGGATACTGGGAACCCACCCCCTTTCTTCCCTCTTTGCTTTCCAGCCATGGGGGAGGGGAAACAGACTTCTGCCATAGGCTTCTTCCATGATGTACTATATTGCCATAGACCCAAGCAAAATGTGCAAGCAACCACAGAATGAAATCTCCCAAACTATGAGCCCAAATAAACTTTTCTTCTTTATAAACGGTTTCCCTTATGTACTTTGTCACAGCAATGAAAAGCTGACAAACACAGTAAGAGTTGAAATAAAACATGCCAGAAAATAAGTATTCACAATGACTCCCTAGATATCAAAGGAAGATGAGTCAGTTAAAATAGCTCCCAATGTCCAAAGCTTGGTCTTAATTTTTGTTTTTTAGCTTTGTATGCCACATTCTAGTCTTTGTGTGGCCTAGCTAAGCAACAGCACAAAGTTCTTAGTCAATCTGTATGGACTGAGCTGTAGATGAATGGACTGTATGGAATTCAAGATCGGCCTTTATCCCGGGAGGTGCTTAGTTAACTCCAGTTATGTTGTGGAGTGGGGTGAAACAACTGGGGCAAAATGTTCTGTGTATGGAAAGTGAGAGAGAAATGCGGGCACCACAAGAGCATCCTGTACACCACTGTCTGGTATGTGTGAAAAGTAATAATTATGCATTGAAATATGACCTATCTCTACATTAATAAACCTTTTGTAAATTTCTTACAACCTTTGAGCAACGAAGTATCAATGGGTTATAACCGGAAGTAGGAATGAAGTATCTACATACATGAAACCAGTTGACAAACTGAAGGAAAAGACTAGGAGCATAAGCTCTCCATGCTTCAAGTGTGGGTAGTACAGGGTGACAACCTTCCAAATTACAGTAGGAAAAGGTGGTAAGGCAGATGTGATGAAGCACGTCTGGGATTATAAATCCCAGTACTCAGAGTCTGAGGATTGATAGTCTGGTGAGATCCTGCATCAGAAGACTAAGTGTGGAGAAAAGACCAATTACACATATACAATGGAGTGGCAAGACCTACCAAGCTCCACCTACGTCGGTCAGTTGATCTAGATCTATATCAGTATTGATACATCAGGGTGATGGTATGTCTCCTTAATTTGATGAAAATGACACCTTACCTACCTCTGTGATCATACTCCTTAAAACTCATAGTCGTAGTCTAATCATGATTTAAAAATTACAACAATTTCTAATTGAAGGGCATCCTGACCAGCATTCCTCAAAACTGCCAAGGTCATCAGAAATGAGGAATGTCTGAGAAACTGTCATGGCCAGGAAGAAACTCTGCTGAATAAATGCAATGTGGTGTCCTGACAGGAAAAGAAAGGGTATTAGATAAAAACAAGGAGATCTGAGTAAAGTATGGGCATCAGTGAACAGTATACCCCTCTGGCTCATTGTAGCAAATCATGGTGCTATCTTAATAACAGGAGGAAGTGGGTGCTTGGCTATATGGGAAAACTGTACTGTCGTCTTGGTTTTTCTACAAATCACAAATTGTCCTGGTACACTGACTCTGCTCCCCAAGAACTTCCAATGATGTGGGAAAGAATTCAGAGGTCTCTATAATGCATTTATTTTCCTGTGCTCATCAGAAAACCACTAGAGCACTACTGAACTGAACTTCCCTAAAATACTAGGGAATTGTTGCTGACATCATCTGAAATGTATTGTTTATAATTGCACTAAATGTATTGTTTGTAATTGCACTAAAAAATCTAAGGGAGTTTTTATTTCAATGTGTAATTATTACACATACACACACACACACACACACAGAGCAATTGATGGTATATAGCACTCTCCTGTGGTTACCTGCATTTTTCTTTCATTTCCTTTTCATACACAGAATGCTTTTTCTCAATTGTTTCATTCCACTCTCCCAAGATAACTGTTAACTGACCAAGGGTCTCCAGGAACAAAGGCCTATTTGGAATTCCATGCAATGCACTGATCTACAACTCAGTCCATACCTCCTGACCATGAACTTTGCCAAGGATGATGGGAGAGGAACTAGAACACAGCATAAAAACTAAACAATCACCTTAAGACAAAATAAGAATTACAACATTTGTGTGATTAATCTTAACTGGTGTAAACAAAGGACGGAATTGTTTCTGATGATTGTTCAGAGGAATGACAACTTTTAGAGCTAGCTTCATGGGGCGGGGCACGGACGGATGACACAGACACGACTTTAACCAGGCTGTTAAAAGAGTGACATATGAATGAGACACTGGAACTCAGGAAATTTACAGCATAGAGCTAGAGAAAGGGGACACATGGGGAGAATACGAAGACTCCAGTGGAGGCTCTCTGTGCAAGCATGGCAGCTAGTGTTGTCACCTTCAAGAGTTTTGGATAATTTTTCTCAGCAATTATAATTTGAGGATCAAAACTACGCCATTTAGAATTCTTGGACTAGGCCATGCAAAATAAATAAATAAAAGAATTGGCTGTGACAAATTGGTTTCTCATGGGACAAACTGTTGCATGAATTAATATACAGCATATGTACCTATCTGAATCTAAAATATATACGTTAACCGGGCATGGTGGCACATGCCTTTAATCCTACAATTTGGGAGGCAGAAGCAGGTGAATTTGTGAGTTTGAGGCCAGCCTGATCTACATATTGAGTTCCAGGTCAGGGAGCTACAGGGAGCCCCTTACTCAAAAAGACCAAAAACTCTACCTATATACACATGTATGTATGTACATATACATGTATAGATACATATGTGTTTCTAGCTTTATGAAAGCTACGTAATCCAGGTCTATTTCAGAAATTATCCACCTATTGATTAATGATGGTATGTGTCTCTTCCAGAGCATCTAATTATTCCAGAGCCAGTAATCTGACAGGCAGGATGTCCTAGCATATACAGGACCTGAGACAGATATTTGGGGGAGGGCTCCTGTTCATATTAACAATGTGATAAAATTTGTGATGCCACCAGGTACGGGTGTTACATGCCTGGACTTTCTGCCTTTTCAAGGTAGGAGGAGCAGGTTCAAAGACAATCACAGCTAAATAATGAGCTGGAGGCCAGCCTGGGCAGCATGAAACCCTGTCTCAAAAAACAAAACAAAACCATGATCCCATGTGAGATATAGTGGTTTATTGATGAAGTTCTACAACAAATGAGTGGAAAACAGGCATGCATCTGTTGTTCCATCAGTACACGTGGAAACTGTAGTGTACAACTCCGTCACTGCCTGCTCGAGTCGAGGAACTTTTTCTTTAGCATCAGATGCTCCACCCTTGGCTAACTTCATATCCCCCACCACAAAAGGAAGCAGCTCTGCTCTAATGACTTGGAATTCCATGGCTTTTCAAAACCTGCTTGTATTAAAGAATACAGATCATTGCTCTTAGGATTCCCTAACACCATGTATCTGATGCTGTTTCCACCATCCACATCATGGCAACTGCCATGAATGCTTGCTTCTAGTGATTCCCTCAAAGGCTGTCACTATGTCTCACTGAGGATGACCACTAACAGAACGTTATTCAAAGTACACAGGAAAATGTAAACAGTGTTCCATTTCCTGGTCATGTTACATTTAGAACTGGACACTTAAACAGGCATTTCAACAATAACTGCTCTTGAACCCCTGGGCTGTAATTCACACATCTCTGAAACTCCATCCTTCACTGCTGGCTACCGTCTTCCTCACAGAACCTAAGAACAGCACAAAGGATGGTCCCACTCCCCATAAGAAACATCTGTCCCCCCATTTTTTTTCCTTAGCCCAAGTTCAGAAAATTTATTTTGAAAAAACAATCGCTTTCTTAAGCATTACTGAGCCAACAGGCCATCAGAATAAAAGTTGTCTAAAATTAGAGGCACAGGACACTAGCAAATGATCCTTAGTTGTGAAATTATAAACGCAGTTTAGGATGGGTAGGAGTGTTAAACCAAACTACAACAATGAAGTCTTCAAACCACCTTCTGAATGGGGCTGCTGCGTGTCCCTTACATCTTATGACCTTAAGCTCCCTTAAAAATATTCGGTGGGGAATCACAGGAGGTAATGGGCTGTGAGCTCTTGAAACTATACAAGGTATAGTCTGGCTAAGTTATGCTTGGTTTCTATACTTTCTTGTTTGGTAGAGTGGCCCAGGGAAAAGCAGGCTCAGTTACCCCACCAGTCAACCCCCTGGGAGCTATAATTTCCTCCATATCCATCACTGCTGTAAAAGCCTCCATAGCCACTGGCACCAAACCCTCTGCTGCTGTGGCCACCCCCACCACTGCGACTGCTGCCAGTGCGGCTGCTGCTCGAGCTGGAACTGCTGGCCCCGCTGCTTTGTCGATAGTCCCTGGCACCAAAGCCACCACTAAATCTGCTCTTTGAACGGCCACGGCTGCTGCCCTTGCAGTGGTGCTCAAAAGCCATGTTTTCTAACCAAGATGGTACTTCTTGTTTCGCTTCAACAAGAAGATCCAGCAAATCTTTAGTAATGTTTATGTTCCTCTCATTGAAGAAGGACGTGGCAAGGCCAAGGTTTCCCACACGACCCGTGCGGCCAATGCGATGCACGTATTCTTCAATATCACTGGGCAAGTCAAAATTGATGACGTGTTTCACGTTTGAGATATCGAGTCCTCTTGCTGCAACCGCTGTAGCCACGAGGATTGGGCTCTTTCCTAAACGGAACTGGTGAAGGGCCTCTTCCCTATCCCTCTGAGAGCGGTCTCCATGGATACTGGTGCAAGCATATCCTTCATGGTATAAGAAATCCTCCAGAGAATCTGCACCCTTCTTGGTCTCCACAAACACTAGGATCAGGGAATCCTTCCCTGTCGCATTTAGGAGGTCAAGCAGGAATGACCGCTTGTCTGCTTCTTCCACCCAAACTACCTTCTGTGTGATGTTCTCAGAAGTGGACCCGACTCTTCCTACTGCCAGAAAGATGTACTCATCCAAGAAATCACGAGCCAGCATCTGTATTTCCTTAGGAAAGGTGGCACTAAACATCATGGTGTGGCGGACACCTTTGGGAGGCATGGTATCTTGCTCAACTATTCTCCGTATCTGAGGCTCAAAGCCCATGTCCAACATCCGGTCAGCTTCATCCAACACCAAGTACTTGCAGAAGTCGAGTCCAAGCTTTCCTCTTTCCATCATATCCACCAGCCGTCCAGGGGTAGCGACTAACAGGTGGCATCCACGCTCCAAGTCCCTAATCTGCTGACCAATATCAGCACCACCATAAACCACACAAGGACGAACTCGAGACCGGTAGGAGAACTTTCTGGCCTCCTCGTAGATCTGCACGGCCAATTCCCTCGTCGGCGCCAGGACCAAGGAGATCGGGTACTGTTTGCGACGGCCGTATTTTCCGTTCTCCTTCATGGCCCTCAAAGCCTCGCCGGGACCATCTGAATAGATCTGACTCAAGATGGGCAGGAGAAAAGCTGCAGTTTTTCCAGACCCTGTTTGGGCACAAGCCATCAAGTCTCTTTTCTCTTTGATAATAGGAATGGCATGCTTCTGCACTGGAGTCGGGCGCGTGTACCGGGTGAGCTCAATGTTCCCCATTATAATCTCTCCCAGCTCAACATCGCCGAAGCTCTCAATACGCGGAGGGCAGTTGTTCCCCGTGGCTTCAACCGGAATGTCATCGTATTTCTCAAAGTTAATCCCAGTGTTGCCTCCAGAAAAGAGTTCCCGCTCCAAGCGTTCACTTGGCGGCAGCGGTTTCGACCAGTCGTCTTCATCTGCTCTGTCACACCAGCGACTGTTCCCGCCGCGTTCCAATTTGCCAAAGCCGTTCCTGCCCCCGCGGCCGCCGAGGCCCTCACAGTCGGTCCGGCCGCGCTCATCAAACCTGCCCCTGGATCCACTTCCACGGTCGGCGAACAAGCTGGACTTGGCCCTCGCGTCGCTGCGGGACCCAAAGCTGCTGTAGGCGTCCTTGTCTTTCCCCCAGCGGGAGCTGTCTCTGCCGCAGGGGCCTCTGGCGGCTTCTCGGTTCCGAAGGTGAGGGGGCACGTAGCGCTCTTGGCCGGCCGCGCTTCCGGCCGCCTGGGCCCCGGCCTTCAGGTCTAGGCCAGCCAACTGCTGGTCCAGCCCGAGCGCTTCCTCCTCCGCGGCATGACTCATCCCTGAAGCGTGTGGAGGGCGGCGAGCAGGGTTTCCTCCGCCCGGCCGCTCGGTCTCCCCACCAAGGTCCTCCCGGGGAGCTCTGCGTGTCCGGACGGCGACCGACCCCGAAAGGCTGCCGGGCCCGCGCCTAGGCCTACGTCCGTCGCACACCCGGGCTCCAGCCAACGCTACGCCTCTGCCCGGCTACTGCGTGCTGACCTCTAGTCTCGCGAGACTTGGTCCTCACCGGTGCCCCAAGGCGTATGCCGCGGCCAAGGCCCCCGCCTCCCCCGGACTTACAGCAACAGGATAAGCACACCGCTGGGTTCATCGTGGATTCTGCCCGTGGCTACAACAGGATCCCGAGCGCCCTGAGCAGCGATGGCCACCCGGCTTGGCTGGACTCGGCCTGTTCTCCACGAATACGCCAGGCCTCGGCTTGGAAGTTCTCGAGATCTCGCGAGAACTCTGGCCTCCAGTAGGCAGGCCCCACGTTTCCCCCAGGCCTCTCGGTTCGTCGCTGCGCACCGACTTGGTGTCCTTCCTGAAGTCTTTTCTGCCCCACTGAGCCGCCGACGTCTCTGGTTCATCAGCCCGTGCTCCTCCCAACGCAGCTGTCCTGAGACTGGACTTAGAAACAGGCCCCAACTAGCGGGCAGCAGGTCACGTGGTACAGGTGGCCCGTGGGGTGGCCATTTTGGGAAGCAACAGGAATCGGTTGCTTAGATGAGGGTTCAGAATGGGAGTCGGGGACGGTGGGGACCAGCAGAGGAATGGGCGGTTGGTGCCTGGATGGGGTTGGGGGAGCAAAGGGGACCAAGGTGCCTGTGTTCATTGGCGAGCTTCAGACGGTTGTCCTAGTGGAAAGGCCATTACCCCAGTGTGAAAGAATAGTTCCCCCAAAGAACTCCTGCACCTTGGACTGAGCTTCCTGGAAGGCAGACCAACTGATTATCACTCTGGAGACTGTGGAGAGTTTGGAATGTTGTAGGTCCAGAGTCTAATTACCATTTATCTGGGGCGATCTTTAGCCCCCTAAATAGCCCTCCTTACACTTTGGTCTCTGATCTAACATCCTGTGACTAACAGATAAAACCCTTTTAGACTGTATTAACTTAGCAGACCACCAGGTCTCACCAATCCAAAAGCTAAGAATGTCATCAGATAACATCTGAGACCTATAGTAAGAACCCTCCTGCTTTGCTGTGACCCACCATCTGAATGTATCCACCAATGTATTTGAAAAGTGTCTTGATTTATGACTTCTTTGTTCTGTTACTGTAAAAATGTAACATGGAATTTGGGATAACCTGAATCTGTGTTCCCAGGCCATGGCCACTCATATTTGACTCCAGAATAAACTATTTCTTATCCCTTTTGAGGTGAGAGTTATTCTTTTGCATGACACCAGGATTGCCCAGTTGCAGCTTGGGGCTTAAGGAAAGTATGGTGACTGCCTGGCCTGGGTGGCAGTACCGAGTGCCACAGTAAATGACAAGCAAAACAGCTGCCCTGGGTTGTGTAATGGTCCCAGGTATTCCAAACCTTCCTTCTTTGTGTCCAACCTGTTCTAGCTGCCCAGTCACCACTTTATCTGCTCTACTCATGTGGAGTTGAAGGGTTCTGAGAGTAGCCCCCCCCCAAAAAAAACACCCCATGCTGGTCATTCTGCTTGGTCTGGGGCAAGGAGAGAGGTCTTTGGTATTTTGTAATGATAACTCTGAAATAGGTGGTATGGGGGAGTGGTGTTTAGAGATGTGGAGTGTCCAAAGGGTTTCCTTGTGGGTCTGAGGGAAGGTATGCTTGAAATGTGTGGCATTTAAACAATAACCAAAGCAAAACCAGTGATTTTAAAGGCTGGAGAGATGGCTTAGAAGTTAAGAGCATTTGCTGCTCTTGCAGAGGACCCAGGTTCAGTTCCCAGCAGTCACAACAGGAGGCTCACAACTGCCTGTAACTCCAATTCCAGGGTATCTGATGCCCTCATCTGGCTTCCTTGGGTACCTGCATCCTAATGGTGCACATACAGACAAGCAGGCACACACATACACATGTAACTAAAACCTTTTAAAAAGTAACTTCAGTAAAAAGCTCGTTATTGATTTATTTTTTAATAGATTTTATATATCTTGCTTCTGCCCTAAATAAAGAGTTCATTTAAAATGGGACCCGTTTTGGATTTTGCAGAAGCTTTAGAATTTAGGTGGAAATTAGTGGCTAAGGTGAAACCAGTATATTGAATTGATGTATAGAATATACAGGCATTCCTGTGTGTGAACGAGGATGTAGGTTTTTGGGGGGTTTCTTTCAACATCTTTCATCTGAAGATGATGTCAGCATACCCCAAAAAACAGAGATCAGAAAACCTAAACAAAAGAGTGAGCTCTTGATCTCATTAAGTCTGAAGTCCAACTGACCACTGGATCTCTGAATTATATGAACTATGAGGTCTTGTTATATGCTTATGGCATTTTAAAAATAAATTTTAAACAATTACTGAGCACATAGAAACAGTAATTAATAACCACCATGGACTGCTAAATTCCTAACCCAGACATAGTTGGAATTTTTCACCCTTAGAAGTAACTAGGAGTAACTAAAAATTGGATATGCTGCCTAAAGAATTTGAAAATCAGGGAGATGCCCCTAAGGGTCTTTGTGATGACTGGGAGGAATGAGTCACTTTTTTGGAATGTTCTTGAAAGTTAAGGGCAGTCAGCCTTCATTAATTACAACATTTCTGTCCTTTCTGGATATTTGATTAAATGTTACCCTTTTTTTTCATATTGCTCCAAAAAAAATCTCTATGTATTCTTTCTCCCAATAGATTAGGAGCTTCCAGATACCAGTGTGAGTCCTGGTAGGTGACTTCAAGAGCCCTCAGTGATCCCTCATTTTGACACTCACACCTGTGTGAAAAATCCCCTCCCCTTGAATATAGCAAAAGTGACAGAACGTCATTTCTGTTGTTAGGTTATAGAAGACTGTGAGTTGTATCTTGCTGGACTCTTGCTCTGCAAAATAAGAAAAACCCAAGCTGTAAAATATAATATGAAAGGAACCATAAAAATGTCCTGTCCCAGGTTCTAAACTGTAATAAAATATGAGTGACAAGAACATGTGTGTGACTTTACTTAGTTCTTCACCTCTGTAGTATAAGCCAGTGTGTACCTTTGGTCATACTTTAAAATTGTGTCTTAGGGACAGGCTAAGTACAAAGCCCCACCCTGGCTCCCATCTCCTGTCTCTTCATCTGCCTGCCTCCCTCCCCTACCCCAAAGCACTTGACGCTGTCTCTACATTTGAACTGAACTGTCTCTCAACTCTGAACTGAACTTCTGAAAGAGTTTAAAGGGGAGATGATCTGACAAGGAGATTTGCTTGTCTCAGAGCTCGGCTGTGCCTGCCTTTAATTAAAAATGGTATTGATTTTTCTCTGTTCTAATGATAGGCACTAGTCTGCCCTCCTGATGTTAGCCACTGACAGTTTAAGTATGAAACAAAGGGCATTTATTCAGCACTTAATACAAAATTATGACTGATTAAAAAGTGATTTATCATGAGAACTACATCTGTAGAGGCTGTGTGTGTGTGTGTGTGTGTGTGTGTGTGTGTGTGTGTGTTTAAATGCTAACTCTAACCAGAGTTTGGAAGGCACAGAAGGATGATTAAAACATTTCCCCCAATTCTCATTTGATCCTTTCCACATTCAGTTCTTCCCTCATTTCCACACAAGAGGGAAAATAAAATTTCCACTGAATTCAAGATCACAAAACAGGAAGAGAATTCTGGAAGTTATGCTTGTAGTGTATCATAGATGTCAATTGTTGGGGTGCCACGTTGCCTTCAGAGAGCAAAACAGTCATAATCTTTCTAGAGCCACAGTATCCTGATGTCTGCCGTGCTCTTTTGCTACTGGCATAATGGTTGATGCACTGGAAATAGATCCTGCATCCTGGATGAACAGGCTCTACCACACGGTTTGGAAGGAGGATAGGAGCAGGGAGGAAGCCTTGCCATATGGTGCAGTCAGCTTTTATTAAGAAAAAACAACCCAGAACACAAAGACCCTATATGCAGAAAGATCGTTTTCACAGGACAGAAAATCAAAGAAGAAAAACCTGAGAACACAGCACATCTTTCGTAAAGAGTAACAAAGGTAAGAATTACAGCTGACGTCTCAGAAACTACCCAGTCAAGAAGAAAGTGAACTAAGAGATACCTGTTTTTGGTTTGTTTCTCAGGGCTGGGGTTTGAACCTCAGGGCCTTAAACATGCTAGGCAAGCACACTTCCACTGAATCACATCCAGATTTTTAATTGAAATTTTTAAACAACCATATGAAATTCTTCAAATGTGAAGGAAAAATACAGAGTTCTCAGGCAAACAAAAAATAAGCAAATTCATTGTTGGTAGGCCTGCTTCATAAATATTTAAAGACTTTTGGGTGGGTGTTGGGTTTGGGGTTTTTTTTTTTTGAGACAGTCTGCCTGTAGCCCCAGCTGGCCTGGAATTCACTATGTAGATCAGGCTGACCTCAATCCCACAGAAATCCACCTGCCTCTGCCTCCCCAGTGCTGCCTTTAAAAAAATATTCAATTTTTGTGCATTTCATACATCTTGGATCATATTTAGACCCTATCTCCTATCTGTATCCCCCAATACTCTATGGATTTCACACATTCTGTCATATGTATTAAGGTCTAACAAATTTGTATGATGGTTTGAATGAGAATGTCTCCCATAAACTCCAGGTATTTGGACATTTTCTCCTCAGTTGGTGGCGCTGTTTTGGGAGGTCTTAGAAGGTGTGGCCTTGCTGGAGGAAGCATGTCCCTGGGGGTAGGCTTAGAGAGTTCTTAAGTCTTGCCGGATTTCCAGTCATGCTCTGCTTCCTGTGCCTGTGTGATGATGTGAGAGCTTAGCTTCTGCTCCTACAGCAGCCACCTCTGCCACCATGCCTCCCTGCCATGATGGACTCATGCCCCTTTGGAACCTTAAGCTAAATAAACTCTTCCTTCTATAAGTTCCCTTGGTCATGGTGTTTTGTCACAGCAATAGAAAAGTGACTAATACAGTTTGTGTCCCCAAATGTCCCTTGAGCTTTTTAAAAAAATGTGTCTTGC